AATAAGTATGAATTCAGATAGTCCAGGTTGTCCTGAAAAAAATAATACCCCATAAGGCAACATTTATTGTTTTTATTAGAAAATACAAAAGAAAAACCAAAATGAGTCAAAAACGGTGATTTACACCCTGGACCCCAGAGGGCTAATAATTTTTGGTTAAATTTGTTATTTGCTATATTTAGTCATATTTTTTATAAATGTACGGTCTAGATTACCATTCTAAATGATAAAAATCTTTCGTCATAAATGTTTGTTGGTTTCACAGTAAAATAAACAACTTTTTTCCTATTCGGATTTTATGCTTTTGAGTGATTTCAGGTCTAATATGCAACCCCTTTATGTCCAAATATAAAAAATAAGTATAAATCCATAAAGTCGAGGTTGTGCTGAAAAGATTGATACCACATAAGGCAGTGGTTATGGTTTTTATTTTGGAAATACAAAGGAAAACTCTAAATTAGTCAAAAATGGCAAATTACACCCTGGACCCCGGAGGGTTAAAGCAGTCCAAAGCTGATGTGCATCCCCCAGCATGGCGCAGTCCCACTGCCAGTGACTCTCATCTGGCTTTCCTGTAATCGTTCTTATGGGTTCTAATGAAAAAGCACGTTCTTGTAAACAGTCCGAGTCTGTTGATCTGTGTGCACACTGCTGTTTTCACACCCATAAAGTAAACGTTAACACTCAGCTAAATCCGTTCAGCGCTTCTATTTCGGTGTAGCGTCTAGACATAAAAACGGTTTACTACCAACCAAAAGCCACAGCTGGCTTCTGCAAAGACAGACACAACTCGGACCTTCCCTGCACACCATCATGAGCCAGAGCGAGGGTCTCTAACCGATTCCCAGCCAGACACCTTGCACGATGTAAATATCAACATTAGAAGTGTAATATGGCTGACGAAGTCATGCGTTTATGTTCCATAATGCCTTTTCACTGGGGAAAAATTGTCTGCTGTAATAAAATGTTTATATCAGTGTCTTTTATGAGATGTTCCTTGTATACATAATTGTTTTCAGCATCATAAAAAATAAGGCCAACAAAGTGAAAATTACAGGGCTTGGGGGGGGGGGGGGGGGGTGACCACCTATTTTCCACACTCACAAAATGTGTAAACAAAGTAAATGTGTTCAACTGTCAACACGCTCAAACGCTTCACCACAAATGATCTCACAGCAGCGTAATGAAGTTTGGAGCTAAAATCTGTCAGTGAGTTCAATTAAAAATGGGGTTGTCTATAATTAATTTTCTTTATAGCTTTTATTTGATTGACCCAATCCACAAAACACACTGGGTTTGGAAAGAAAAATAGACTCATTAAGACAAATAAAACAATCTAAATAATCAAAGCAAATATCGGCAGTCATTCAGTGACTGAGTCAACGTTTTAACATGTCTAATCTAAATATGCATGATAGATTTCCTTTATTTAATTTTTCCAAGTCTTCCTATAACTTTTCTATGGTGTCTCATTTTGGCTTTCAGGGTCTAGAAATTACTGCGATGGACTGGCACTCTGTCCAGGGTGTACCCCACCTGATTACAGCTGGAGATAGGCACCAGCCCCCCCACGACCCTACATGGACAAGCGGGTTCAGACATTAGATGGATGGATGGATGGATGGATGGATGGATGGATGGTCTAGAGATTAACACAGATTATTTAAATCTAGAATGCATGTGGTAGATTTGGACGTCAGATTTCATGTTACATGTTGAAGGTTCAAAAATACATAAGATGTCTTTGGAGAAGTTGTTGAAATGTTCAAATTTGGGTTATTGTATGATACACTGGCTTTCCCTTATTTGGGGCTATGAGAAAATTTTATTTTTAAATTATTTCTACCACAAAAGGTCTATTTACGTTGTGAAATACCTCTAACAGAGAGACTTTTTTCACTACGCCTTTACATAAAACACATGCTTACTCTGTTTCAGAGGTGTGGACTCGAGTCACATGACTTGGACTCGAGTCAGAGTTGAGTCATTATTTTAATGACTTCTGACTCGACTTGAAAACATCTATAAAGATTTATGACTTAACTCGGACCTGAACGCCATTGACTTGAGACTTGAATTGACTTGCATCTGTTGACTTGGTGATGACTTGAGCATATTTGATAATTTAGCACAAAAGTGGACCGACGTGGACAAAAATCCTGAATCATTCTTGGTTCTGGGCGTGATGTTCTGCTAACTGCAGCAGCTCTTAGTTCGTAATCAGTTTCAGTTGCACTTCCTGCGTGTTTGAGCAAATAAATGAAGCTTTAAGAAGCTTTTATTCTGGAATTTATTTATTATCATTGTCATTAAATTGAAGTTGGACAGATGACTTGATTATGACTTGAAAATTCAAAGTTAAGGACTTGGACTTGACTTGGACTTCCACATCATTGACTTTGGACTCGACTTGGTTGTCTTTGACTTGGACTTGACTGGAAAGACTTGTGACTTGCAAAGCAGCGACTTGGTCACACCTCTGCTCTGTTTCTGCTAATTAATGGCACAGCTGACAGTTATATATTCAGTACGTCGGGTTTTGTAAAACAGCATCTGACTTTTATTAGTTTATTTCTTTTTGTGAAGCGAACTAGCATAGCACAACCTCAAAATAGTCATATTTTATAAACCAAAATTCAAAAACTACTAGAATCGAGTGAGTTAAGAGTAAATATTAATACATTTCAGGGATTCAGTGTGTCACAGATATTTCATCATCAAGGGGCGATGGTGGCAGAGGAGCTGCTACAGTGAATCTACAGAAGAAGTCAGATATTTCGCTATCGTTGACACTTAACCCGCATTGCCTGCTGGTGGTAGTCGGGTGGGGGGGTGTCAGTGACACCAGTGTACAGCAGCCTCACTTTTGTCAGTGCACCCCTGTTTTATATTGAAAAATTCTAAATATCCTAAAGGTGTGGTTCACCTGTTTAATCTAAACCTTTACAACAGTCTCCGACAAGAACGAATAATTTGTAAGTTGTTCTCTGGAGAAACAAAGCTCCGGTGCACCTGTTTCAGGAACTAGAGGTGAGCTACATCAGAGCTGAGCTCACACGAGAACATTTGGAGTCTAATTTCCTGATATTTGGACATCTCGCCTCTGATTGGTTAACAGCATCGTGCTTTGCGACGATGTTTTATCCCCACAAAAACACAAGGAGTTCTGCTATGTGGTGGAATTGCTAAAGCTAACATTAACTTCTACTAATCGAGGTGTCCTCTGCTGTTTCCTGGATGCTACAACAACAGCCTCCCTCATCGTGAGTCAAGATGGGTGAGTTAATGTTAAGTGACAGTGTGACGTAGATCTGTCAGGATTTTTTAATCCTAGATTTTCTATCAGATGCTGATGCAGGAGATAGGTGGAGGAGACCGTTTTCATGTTCAGCCTGCATGAGAAGCTCGGAGTGACCCGTTATAATCATAAAAACTAAATAAAACTGTTTTTTTCAGTGAACCACACCTTTAATGACAACAGCTAGGACCCTTGTTAAAGCTGAGGCTAACAGATGTCATAAAACATCAAACCACTTCCACTGAGATATTCTATTTTTCTCCCAGTGAAAGATATTTTTCATCCAACATTAGAAATGGATAAATTGCATGTTGTCTATAAAAACGACACACTAGCATGCATGTAAACCCGTACATTCCTAAGGAGAAAGGAGACAAACTTTCAGCAATTTTGTAAGTTTATACTGGTTTGTTATAAGTTTCAGTCGACTGGTGAGAAATTAGTCATTTTTAACTCTTACTGGTGGTAAACAGAAGCCGTAAACCGGAGAGTTATTTGAAAAAGTCCTTTTAGTTTATTTTGCACACATACATGCTACAGAACCAGAAAGGTCAAACATCTGTGGGTTTTCAGTCATGAGTTTGTTTCAACAACAGAACATGAAAAACAAAACTCTTGTTCTGCACTTTGATGGATTTCTTTCCTTTGGTGGTGCAAAAATCTATTTTTACTTAATCTGGAGGAAACATCTTGGTGTGAGCTAACCTGCCTCTGCACCACAATAATAACTGAAGGCCCTGTCTAGATTAAAACTCCTAAATTCAGCTAAACTCTGGTGCTGAGACTGGGAACAAAAACAGAGAAAGCATCAAATGCAAGACAAAGGCCTTCCATTAGCGTTCACCGATGACAGATGTGATAGCGAGTCCATTCAAACTTCAAATTTTACACATGATTGAGGCTCTATTGGACGTAATGAAATGGCCTTCCTGAATATTGCACTTGAGTGGCTGTGTGACCAGCAGCACAATGGCTGCTATTATAGTTGTGGACCTTCAGACCCTGTTTCATTGTACCAGGTCCACTCACTTATTATTACAGAACTTGAAGTGAACCTGTGGCGTTGGCTTCTTGCTGTTACGGATGTGACCGTTCCCTCCACTGGGAGCAATTCATAGAGTGTTAATTGACCACCGCAATCACTCAGCAGATTTATGGAAAAGTCTGAAGGGTCACAGGAGGCTTTGAGAGGAGGCTGCTCAGGGAGCAAGGCTGGCCTCAGAGCTGCAGCTGGGGAATGTTTTGGCCTCTGGACGTACATTACTGGTACAGAAACTCCCTGCCTTCCTACAATTATCTCAGAGAAAATGTGAATTACATAAAAAAAACGACACTTAAATGGTCCGTGCAGGAAAAGAACATCATCTTGTGGCCGTCCTTGTGTGGGATTTTGTATCATAATTGCATATTTTGATAGCAACTGTTGGAACAGGAAATGGCTGATACTTTTGAAATGTGCATTCAAACACAAGCATGACCCAGTTTGCATGTATTTGTTATCCCGTCATACAGATGTTCATCATTCAGTGGAGGAGGAGCTGCTGCAGCACAGCAGACAGACAGGGCGTGCTCAGTGGGGCCCATCTGGCCAGCTCTAATCAGCTTTAGACAACAGAGGCGTACAGATGAATGAAACAAAGTGCTTGTGAATAAACACAGGCCCAACTGTTTTGCTTCCATTTCATTCTGCAGCCCTGTTAAGATCTAATGTGGCACCGCTGATTAATTGTTTTCACATGAGGAGGCAACTCAGTTTTCCACATTTAATGTTGCAGAGCATCATGTCAGATTAGTGTGAACAAACGTGCACGCAGCCCTGCATCTGGACACCCTTAATGCCGTTTAATCCCTTTTCTGTCAGCCACCAATCCCCGTCCACCTACAGCACGCCTTCAGACCATCTACCCAGCAATAGTGTCCTCAGGATCTCCAGGATAGCTGCGCACGTTTAGTTTCAAGGTAAGACTTTTTGTTATTTTTTTGAGTAAGAAAAGGAAGTAGCTTCTGAAATGGCCATGAGACAGTTGGGGATAATTGCCCGCATGCACATAGCTGTACAGTGATCATGTGATAGGCTTTTGAACAAATGTGTTGCTGCGTGTTTTGCTGCATGGAGCCTGCATGGTGCTTACTGTGCCGGTTTGACTTTGGTAAACAACGCCGGACTGTTAACGGGCTCCCAACAGAACCTTTATGACCGTCAGAGCGCCAGCTGGCAACAAACTGGTGCGCTTGTATGGTAAGCTGCCTCTGCCAGCGCTACATTCACTGAGGTCTGCACGGATTCTCGGTAATCACTCGAGCTGATTAGACGCGTGTTGTTTTCTCATTAGGCAGGGCTCCCGATGGTCTTGTGAAAATGAATGATGGAGCGAAGGTAAACGTCTGACTTGATGTCTGCAGACGGCTCGGGAGGAGAGACAGATCTGTGGAAATTGGGTGGAGACGCTAACGTTTACAGTAGAAACTGCAGACAAGTATGCGCGGACCTCACCCGCAGGCCGGCGATCAACTCCTCTGTCATCACGCTCTTTATCACGGAGATGCAGATTGATGTTGAAGGGTCAGACTCCTCTGCAAAAGAAAGTTATTTATAAAAAAAGCTAGGCAGCTGGAGCTGTTGCTGTTTGAGCATTTCCATGAACGTTGGCAGTAAGTCTCCTTTCAGCAGTTATCAGTGCGTCGCTGTCTCTCTGCAAACATGAAGGCAATCCGAGTTTTTGCAGCCATGTTTGTAGACCTCTTAATCTTTTTTTGCATCTTGAATTAGATTTACTGTTAAAGGAAGGAGTGAGAAAGACATCAGTGCTACAAAAAGCTGTTGAGTTTGATGAATGCACGGGATTTTCTTTACCCTGTGAACAACAATCATTCGGATTACGTGTAATCCTGCCGTACGTAATATCTGAGATTTTTGTTCCTTCTGAAGTCACAGTGATTTACCTACACGCCCATAAAACCCAGACCACATTTCTTTTATGACTCTGCAGTAAAATGAATGAGGGGGAATTCTGAACCGTGATCGGGTTTCGCTGTATTCTTTTTTTCTTAAAGAGTCAGTGTGAATGTTGGTGAATCGCTGGCATTTTGTTTTCTAGGTCTCAGGTAAGCGAGATAGGCAAATCAGAAATTTCCTCTTCGGAACGAGGCACTTTCACTGGGTCAGATAACGCGCCAGATACTGGGAGCGGAGGAAGAGCAAAAGGGGGGCAATAGAGAGAAGAGACTGACAACAATGCTTCAAAGCCTCTTTGTATGTTGGTTTGCATTTGATCCATTGTCCTGCTTGGTCTTTAGAGACCACCACCAACATGGCATCATCTTACTCAGGTTTACGGAGGTTTTGTGTGGCTGAGATGCCCCAAGAGATTAGCCCCAGGTGAGGCTCGGGGTTAAAAGCGAGTGGGAAGAACAGAGGATCTCCTCATTGTTTTGGGCTTTCTCTATGAGACCAAAGAACACTCAGATAAGAATTCACTTGTTTGAATAAAAGATATTGAGCTTTATCTCCATTAGAAGTCACAGTTAAGCGCTCTGTTTTGTTTGAGGATAAAAAAGTCTGCAAAGACGTACAAAGATAAACTCATGGCTGTTTCTGGTGGGGATTGTAAATCCGTCATTGAGGATTATCACAATGACCCGTTTTATTCCCCACCACATTTCCCTCCTGGGTAATTGCTGTTTGCCTGAATCTGAAGCCCAGCAGCAAAAAAAAAAAAAAAAAAAACAGGGTGGAATATCTGGAAAAATATGCAAATACAAGCCAAAGAGCGAAGCATCTCAGAGGAAAACCGCAATGAATGAAAATTTGGAGGATGCTGATTAAACAATGTTGTGATTTATTGTTTGGAGTAAAATGTTTACAGTTGCATTCCCAAAGTTTGGCTTCCTGGGAAAAAATAGGATTCAGTCACAGCTCTCTTGAGTTCCCGCTGAGTGTTGATGCTGAAAAAGTGAACAGAAGCGACGAGTTTGCTGTAAAACGAAATCAAAACAAAAAAAAGAACTTTTTTTTGTTGTTTTATTTCTAGTTTAGCAACTTTTCAAAGTTCTCGCACCTCAACAGCCTGGGTTCAGACTTTGGCCCAGATCATGAATGGCTGGACAGAGATGCTATCTGGCCGAGGGGGGGGGCGGTGTTTGCTTAGTGGGAATGGAAGTGTCGTGCAGCTCCAGCGTGCTAATGCAGCTAACAGCCAGGAAGGCAGAATGTTGACTCTGCAGATTTAAGCCAGCTACTGATGGCTACGGGGACAAATACTGACCCTGTGGACTAATAAAGAAAAGCACCTCAGGCACGAGCCGCGGGGGTCAGCGGTAACGGCGTGGCTGGGAACAACACAGGTCCGTGGTTTTCAATCACCGCTCGGCCTAATCAGAATGACAGCTGAAGACCGGTGGTGGTAACGGTGTTTACTTAAGTCTTTGTTGTGTGGTGAGCAAGCACAAAGATATGCCTGGCCCTGCCAGGGATGACATCACTCCTGTATTTTGTCTGGCTCTGGGATCTCTGCACCAGTACAATAAGAACTTCCTGTCTGATTCTGCAGCTTTCCACACCGGCACAGGGTACGGCAGCAGCGCTGGTGGGTGTGTGGTTTACTGGGAGGCTGTGGATCCCAAACAGACTGATCATTTGCTCTTTGACCTCACAGCTGACCTTCAGTCTAGGCTTGTGCCTATTTGAAAAAGACAAGTTGGCTAAGAACAGAGTCTGGTTTGTTTTGTGTTTCACTGGATTTAGAACGTCTGTCAAAAGACAGTCTGGTGATTTGATCAAAAATGGCTATCATCTTTAGTTTTTGGGAAATGAACTCTTCATTTGTTTTAAAGCTCTTCAGTGTTTTCAGAGAGCTGTTGAATGTAAAAGTATTGACTCAAATGTGAGCTCCCACTCCCAAGGCACTCACAGGCAGCCCAGTCCCAACTGATATCCGGTACATCTTTGGTGACTAACATCAGCAGCGTGTCTCCGTGGCTGACGGTAGTCTTTATGGTCTTTAGTCTGGTTTTCAGCAGAGGCGCTGTGGCACATTTCAGATGTGTCCCAGAAGTGTGTTGACCATTGACTGTTAAAATACCGGACAAACCCTCTGTGACATCACTCAGCATTCTGAAGGGCTCATTGGAAGCTAAACGGGCAGTTCCGATCACCACCATCTTGGCCATGTCACACATCTTGTCACGCACAGACATTCCACAAATGGGCAAAGAGGGGGAGCTAAGAGCAGATCTCTGAGGATCTGAGTCTGCCGTTGTTCCCAGCTACAAGCTAACAAGCTAACTGAAGCTAACGGAGGTTTGCGGGTGATTTTAGCCAGAAAAAAGCAGTTGAACGACTCTAACATGAAGCACGAATCAACTCACCGAGCGGTGGAGTTTCTATGGTCTCCCTCAGGGAGCTCCACAAGTGACAAGCTGGGCGTCCGGGCAAAGTGAGCCCACACTCTGCTCCTCTGCAGCGGTCGGAGACTTCCCCAATGTCAAGAGCAAGTCTACGCCAGTGCTGACCACTTAAAAAGTTACTTTAAAGCACTCGGCTTCAATTCTCCTGAGAGTTTGTGATCTTCAAGTTCAGCTACACGGACTGCGGCACAGCAGCTCTGCGTGTGATCCGCTCCCGGTGGGAAAAGATGCACGGCGTAGCTCAGGACAAAACTGTGGCGTTGCCGTAACACACCGTTCACGAGCATGTATACTGGAGTCTGAGCAGGAGACGGTAACCCGTCCAAGTCCAGAAGGCTAATGGAAAGCTGCCACTGGCTGAAACCAGGGTGGGTTGTAAACATGTGATGTTCTTTAACCCCGTCACTACCAAAACACGAAAAAAAGCTAAAGAAATTTGATCTTTTTTGCTTTTTGTTATCTATTTTGAGCTTTAAAAATACTTTACATGCCAAATTATACAATTTAAGTAGTTTTAGTGACTTTTGGGGCAGCCAGTAGCAGCTTTCCTTACCGAGTTCACAAACACATCCAATCAAAGTTTGGAACAGTTACTGATGTTTAACTTGCTACGCTGTCGATAAGGAATTTAAAAAGTGCCACATGGCTGACAGATGCAAAATCGCTCCCGTATGAACGAAGGATGGGTCAAAGGCCATGTGCAGCAGGCGCTGATTTCATAGCTGATGAAACACAGTCCTGATAAAACCGCTGGAGCGGTGACGCTCAAAGCAACGGCGGGGCAAATTAACAAAAAGAGATAATAGTGCATGCACAGATTGGTGATGAGATTAATTTCTAATGACACCTCGGAAAAAAAAGCTCCGCTGGTGTAAACACTGATGCTGCTGTTTGAAGAAACAGGAATAAAATGGAAGTTCTCTTGTTTCCTCGAGGTCAAAGAGGCAAAGCAAACCTCAGCAACCCGAGTCCTAAAGCAGCCCGCTGCCGTCTAGAGGGGGGAGACATTAGGCCTCCTCGGAGGCTCAGGACAAAAAAACACAAATAGTCCCCTCTTACACCCCGGCAGCATGGAGGAGAGGCTGGATTACATGTGTGGAAGCACAATACGAGCATGTGCTTCAGGGATTACATCTACAGTCAGTTTATTGTTTAAATGGGGACACAGAAAGGGATCAAAGCTGACCTGGATCTGTTTGACTGTGTCTCAGAAGAAAATGATAAAAGATTGTGGTGAGACTCATTTAAACAGCTTTATAATTTAATAAACTGTCAGAACAAAACTTGCAAGGATGTGAATAAAACGTTTTCATTATGCTGCTTAAAAAGTCATCAGGAACACTTGGGTTGTTTGTTGTGATACGGATGCTGAAGAATGGTTCCGATTTAAAACGTCTGTGAAGAACGTTTTTTTCTATAGCGCCTCTCAAGGTAAAAACCACGAGGCGTTTCACAAACAAACAAAAATGTGAACATACAAACAAATAAACAAAAATGTGAACATACAAACAAACAAACAAACAAAAATGTGAACATACAAACAAATAAACAAA